TAAGATCAGTAAAAAGGACTTGAACACAGGAGATGTCTGACACTGCTCTTTAGAAGTGGCTCACTCCACACTAAACTGTACCATTGCTCCAGCTAACTTCAAGTGACAATAACATAAATGTATCAACTCCAAATATTTGTACCTAAACATTTTTAATACTCTGCATGTTTGGTTCTTTGGGAATAGTCACAAATACGGGGGTAGTAGTATTTATGTTCATGGGTAATGTCACGGTTTGTAATTCATGGGCGGGCGCAGTGACGCATCTTTAAGTTCTGCATAACGCACCTGTGACTGTAACGTGCTATTAACAAGCGATGCCGTGGTCAGGAGCACACAGCCCGCTGGTGTTCACAAAACTAAGGCCCTGTCCACACGAAGTCAAGCTCAGGCCTAAACGCAAAAATACTTTATCAATCCAGTGTATCGTCCATACGAGGCCAGCGTTTTGGGGGGGTGTAAACGAACATTTTTGAAACTAGGTCCCAGAGTGGAAAGATTTCAAAACTCCGTATATGCCGCTCCGTGGTTACTGCCTCTCCGCAATGTATCTGAGACGCTTGCGTCATCGCCCCGCCTCTTGTTAAAGCACGCATGCGCCGCACTCAGAAAATAATGACAACAACAATGTAGCTTGTTGGTTTTGTAATCCAGTGTGACCCGAAGCAACAGTTCAACCTCATCGTCCGTCCATACTAATGTAGTACCAGCTCGCCCACTCGCCATGTTGTCTGTTTACAAAATTCTGCGCATGCCCAGTTCCCGTCACGGAAGTTTGGGCTTGATCCCGTCATTGCGTCACAGCGCCACCAACAGGTCTGGCATAGTTTCACAGCGTTTTCAGGCGTATTGACTACATTCATATGGACGCACACATTTACTGAGCTAACTCCGTGTTTACAGAAAAAGTTTCTGAAATTATAAGCGTTTTGTCTTCGTGTGGATATAGCCTTAGTTCAACATTCATTCATGTGATACAGAGTTTGTAAAGGACGTGTCTGAGGTTTATCTGTGACAATGTCTCTGGTTGGACTTTTCTACACTGTCTTTAAAAACTACAGACTATACAATAATAAAAGATCCTCTCTCTCTCATGCTCTCACAGGTTAAATCTGTCTCCTCCATCATCGTTATTTAGCCTCAAACGCAGCTGTTCATCAATATCTTCAGGGTTTCCTAGAAATATAAGGTGCATTAAAAATAACATTCATTATTATTAATTATTATACATCATGTGTGTTTGGCCTCTGTCACATCTGTAGATCAGCTTTTTCAGACAGAAAAGTGACAAAGAGAGGACCACCCTCACTCAGCCAATCAGCCCAAAGAGTCCAATAGTGACTCACGGGGATCTTACAAATATGCACCAGATGTTTTCTCAGAGGATGAAGACATTTGTCTGATTTTACGTTTTCACAACATGGATTATTCACGAGGAAATAAAAGTGAAGGTTCAGTAAAAGCACACATTACATTTTTAGAGGGATTTTAGATCTGGTTTTTATTTAGTGAAACTGAATGTTGTGTTGAACTGAAATCATGTTCTTTGAGTTCTGTCACAGCAGGACGTACAACATGCATTTATAAAAGTTAGGTACAGCAGCTTTAAGACGTTCACTGCTCTGTGTTCTCTGCTCTGTGCTCTCTGCTCTGTGCTCTGCTCTGTGTTCTCTGCTCTGTGTTCTCTGCTCTGTGTTCTCTGCTCTCTGCTCCCTGCTCTGTGTTCTCTGCTCTCTGCTCTGTGCTCTCTGCTCACTGCTCTGTGTTCTCTGCTCTGTGTTCTCTGCTCTGTGCTCTCTGCTCTGTGCTCCCTGCTCTGTGCTCCCTGCTCTGTGCTCTCTGCTCTGTACTCCCTGCTCTGTGCTCTCTGCTCTCTGCTCTGTGCTCCCTGCTCTGTGCTCCCTGCTCTCTGCTCTGTGCTCCCTGCTCTGTGCTCCCTGCTCTCTGCTCTGTGCTCCCTGCTCCGTGCTCCCTGCTCTCTGCTCTGTGCTCCCTGCTCTGTGTTCTCTGCTCTGTGCTCTCTGCTCTGTGCTCTCTGCTCTGTGCTCCCTGCTCTCTGCTCTGTGCTCCCTGCTCTGTGTTCTCTGCTCTGTGCTCTCTGCTCTGTGCTCTCTGCTCTGTGCTCCCTGCTTTGTGCTCCCTGCTCTCTACTCTGTACTCTCTGCTCTGTGCTCCCTGCTCTGTGCTCTCTGCTCTCTGCTCCCTGCTCTGTGCTCTCTGCTCTGTGCTCCCTGCTCTGTGCTCTCTGCTCTGTGCTCTCTGCTCTGTGCTCCCTGCTCTGTGCTCCCTGCTCTGTGCTCCCTGCTCTGTGCTCTCTGCTCTGTGCTCTCTGCTCTGTGCTCCCTGCTCTGTGCTCCCTGCTCTGTGCTCTCTGCTCTGTGCTCTCTGCTCTGTGCTCCCTGCTCTGTGCTCCCTGCTCTGTGCTCCCTGCTCTGTGCTCTCTGCTCTGTGCTCTCTGCTCTGTGCTCCCTGCTCTGTGCTGTGTGTAAGTCCTGTGCATCCTTTTCATTCAGCTTTTTCAAAATTGTGGCTCTCAGTCCTTTGTAAACCTTTGTATTTATATATGGGTGATTCTTCAACTGCGGACCAATCCGGTTCTGCAATTTTTGGAATATCTAAATTAGTTTTTCAAAAATATTGTTTAGTGTAATAATAATAATAATGCATCCGTTTTATATGCGCATTTCTAAAGGGGCGTTCAGACCGGACTTAACTTTGGCGTCAAAAGCATCAGGTTTGCATTGAAAGTGAATGGTGCTGAATGTGAATGGTCAAAAGCTTCAAGAGTCGCAAGTAATACGCGCTCACTTGAAGCTTTTGACGCGCGTAATGCTCGTGTATCAAAACAATCCCTTTGACGCCGAAGCTGAGCAAAGCTGAGCTTTTGAAGCTCCTCAAACTCCATAGCAGACAACCTACACTCCTCTTCTCCAGGCACAGGCATGACCTCCTCCACCAGGTCGTCCCAGATGGCTGCCACCACATCTGGGATGATGCTGGAGATGCCCAACCTGAAGCTGCTTTTTTTTCATACAATATGATTTTGTAATTTTGTTTTTTTTACATTCTGTCTATCAGGAATTGCAGCAACAATGGAAATGTACCCTCTCTTGTGAAATCACAGGGGGGTTAATCACTTGGGAATCTAAATATATTAAGTACTAAGTAGCAGACAATGCTGTTTTTACTTAATAAACTTTAAAACATGCTTGTAAACGAGATGGCAGGCCCTGCCATTGTAAACAGTGAACATTTAATTGATCAGTTTTCTAATCACTTCACTACAGTGACACAATGCACCTTCAAAATGACTTCAAATGCACAAACGAGGGCCATAGCAAATATATCAATCGTATTAATGATTACTCTAAATACAATCGTTATAACAGAGAAAGTCTGTAACAAAAGCCTCCCTGGGTTCACGGGTGTTCAGCGCCGATCAACACCCGTGGTTAGCATTGGAGCTCCGCGCTGGAGGGAAAAAGTCCGACAAAAATTTAAATATCTATTTAATCACCAAATAGATCTCTGATATGACATTAGTGGGGTATATTTCCCGCCTCAAATGTTATTACAATTAACTTTTATGTCCTATTAAAACATATATTCAACTGTTCCTGCTTTTGGCCGCTCTTATCTCTCGGGCCGTGATCCATGCTAGGGACGCTATTTCCTATTGTATTTCATCCATCCATTTTCTTCCCCTTAATCCATTTCTGGGTCGGGGGGGGTGGCCCCCAGCTGCCACCCAGTCCATACTCACTGATCCTTCTGCAGGGGGTGAGTCCACAGGAGCTGAGATCTTTCAGTGGGAGCTTCAGGCAAAGTGGGGTTAAGTGTCTTGCCTAAGGACACAACGACAGCAGTCATCAGTGGGAGTCGTGAAGTAGGTCTTGCGGTGGGCTTGAACCCACGACCTTCAGGCTCAAAGGCCAATGCTCTACCAACTGAGCTACTGTCGCCCTCCTATTGTATTTGTAGCAGATAGACAGGCGCTCTTCCGCGGGAATCGAGCGCCTGTAGTTGGTGTCCATGCGGGCGATGCGAGCTCCGATGCGGGTGAGCAGGTCATCAAACTGGGCTACTGACATTCGGAAGTACCGCTGAAAGCGAGCCTCGTCCATACGCAGCTCCTGGAGTAAATGGTGAAACTCGCCAAAGACTGCACGCCTCTGAAGTATGCTGTGAACCCATACACATTGTGTAGAAGCCCTACGACAACGTTGTATGGATTTGAACAACAAATAAAGGCAAAAATTTCAAGCACCAAAATGACACAAAAATAACCCGGCGTCAGCTGACGCGCGTCAAAAGCTTTTTGAAGCTTTTGGTCTGAACGCGCCTTAACACTAACTACACTGCTTCATGCAGGGATCCAGACCCCAAAAGGCTAACCTGTCTGAGTGGGCGTTTATGTAGGCAAGCCAAGGCAACGTAAGTTTATTTGTATAGCACAATTCATACACAAGGCCACTCAAAGTGCTGAACAAGAAAGCATTAAAATCATAAATAATCACAGAACATTAAAAAGGAAGATAAAAATATAAAATCCCTCAGTTGTATGCACAGCTTAACAGAACTGTCTTTAACCTGGTTTTAAACATTGTCAGAGAGGAGGCCTGTCTCACATCTTCAGGAAGATTGTTCCAGATTTTAGCAGCATGAATCCGAAAATCAGCCTCCCCATGTTTAGTTCTGACTCTGGGCACTAACACATTCCCATACAGTCACTCCTTATGTTGCGGTGCTTTGCTTGACAGTTTTTTCTGTAAATTATATTTATGAACCCAGACCAAGATCCACTAAATGTATCAATATAGTTATTGGTAACGATGTGTAAACAATTTTATATTCAAGCAGGCAGATTTTGGAAGATGGGCTCCACCCCCAAAAATAATAGTTGTTTTGCTGTTGCTGTGTCAGCAGTCGGGGAATTTAGTAACTACAGCGACAGCTTTGAAGTGTAAATTATCAAAAAGAAAAAAGGGAAATTAAATAACAAATACCTATAACAGAATAAAGTCCTTTATGATAATTGGATAAAACATTTGCAGAGGAAGCATAAATTAGAACTTGATTATATAGAAAATAAAAACATTCATGGACTGCAAAGGATTCCATCATCCACTAGATTTGAGTTCATAGTTTCAGAACTTGGCTGACGACTTTTATCATTCTGAAACACTGCTGGTCCTTATTGCCATTGACCATGCCAAAGAAATCTGAAAAAGGAAAAAAAACATTTTGTCTTAAAGCTGCACTAACTGACTTTATTTTTGTATTCATTACAAAAATGCTCCATATCCATGCAGTGCATTTGGATATCAGTCCTTTTGAAGAATAAGTAGCGCAGATTTGTGCTGGCGTGACATTATATTTTAGATCGAGTTTTGATGAAATAAGGAAGAGAAGCTCCGTGGGTGCGGGGAGGGCGAGCAGAGAGAGGGAGCTCATCGCTCGCGATTGAACATTTCTCAAAATCTGTTGGTGCAGCTATAATGGTTGGCGTCACCATCAATGGTTTACAATGCTTTCCTTCCACCTCCTCATTTCCTTAATTCTTGCCCAGGTTTTTCTGATCACTGGGACACCCAACAAAGACTATATATATTTATTTTTTACAGGATATGAAAAATTAAATCACAGGACTTTGGTTAATGGTTAGCACTAGAAGTTTAGCACTGTAAGCTAGCTCTGTTATAGACTGTAAACAAGGAATAACGTCTGTCCTCACTGACTTATAAAAGTGTTGTTCTTTGTGTAAATGTGACATACATGAGGTAGGTTTGGTCTTCAGGGCTCTCACAGTGTAGTCTGTGTTTATACTTCGGGTATACAATCGCATACAGCACACCCTCTATGGTTGTAGAGTGAGACCTACTTGCGTTCTTATTGTAATGTAATGCAGGAACTTTCAACCTTGGAACTAAAAATATATTAACAAATATATTAAGGCTGTCAAAAATATTATTATTTTTATTATTAACACAAATTTTTCATTAATCTCTTATCAATCATTTGACAGCCTCAATATATAAAATAATGTAATACTTTCAGTAGGTATTACCAAGCCAACATTCCTTTGAAGGAGAAGCCTACGCTCTTTGGGGAGAATCTGATAATCAGACTGTGGAAGGCCTCCAGGGTTGAGTGTGGCACACTCCTTGACAAAGAACGAGGCCAATAGAACGTCTGTGAGTCCCTCACACGGTGCTGTACCTAGAGTAAAGCAGTTCATAGAATGACACTAGACCTTTTATCTATGTAATTTAATTACATATGTATTAATGTAATTCTTAATTTGATCCCCTGAACATGCATGAAAACTTGCCAAAAGACAGACCTGGCAAAACATTATTTTGGTGTTTACTTTTATCGGACTAAAACAATGCCAGAACAGCGCCCCCTACAAAAGTCAATTTATTACGGCTATGGGAGTTGTCCGAGGTCAAGTTTGTCGTAGAGCCACGAAATTCCTGTTCCTCAACAACAACAAAAAGTTATTGTGGTCACTCCCTCTGACAAACCGGAAACCCATGAATTTAATTGGACAATGCAAAAATGAAGCATGATTTTTACATGTCGGTTGGAAAGAGACTCCTCCTCGGCCGTTTCAAAGATTTGCTTCAAAATCGCTCCACATCGTCTCAACACATGTACCTTCAAAATGACCTCAGGGAATTTTGATCAGTGAAACGTTGTTTGAGCAGCGGAGCGGCAAAAAGTTACATTTCTTTTGCCATTTTTGACAATGGCAAATTTTCTCCCGTTTGCACAAAGTCTGATTTGCACAAACATTTAATGCATTGTTCAACTCCAGGGTCAAGTTCATGTGAAAGTGGAATATTTTAAATTCGCCCATTACCGCCCCCTACAGAGTATGTCAAAGTTTTACATGGGGACAGTCACATTTAGTTTTTCCAAAATGTTTGAAATTTTGCACATAATTCAGTTTTGCCCTCTTCTTGATTCAAAAAGTCAATGACAATCAAGACTTATTTGCCTGTTGCCGTGGCGTCGTCAAACTCTCCCATGGGAAATGTACACCTCACACAAACATCAAACCAGCCTTGGGCCGTTTCACCGTTTTGCTAAAAATCGCTCCACATCATCTCAACACATGTACCATCAATAGTTGTTCATAAAAAATGTATTAGTCACATGGTCATCCAATGGAGACTGTATATAAATGAACACATGCACAGATTATACAGTGGGGCAAAAAAGTATTTAGTCAGCCACCGATTGTGCAAGTTCTCCCACTTAAAATAATGAGGTCTGTAATTTTCATCATAGGTTCACTTCAACTGTGAGCGAAAAAAGAAAAATCCAGGAATTCACATTGTAGGATTTTTAAAGAATTTATTTGTAAATGATGGTGGAAAATAAGTATTTGGTCACTTCAAACAAGGAAAATCTCTGGCAGACCTGTATCTTGGCCAAGACCAAAGAGCTGTCAAAGGACACCAGGAAAAGAATTGTAGACCTGCACCAGACTGG